TTCAGCTAAAAGGAACCACAGACTTTTGAGTTGATGATACCGTAGAGAAGATCCTACTGGAGACTATTTTTGTCTTTTGTGACCCGCAGAGTTAAAGATGAACCGCGGAGTGGAGTTATGCATGTAGATAGTTTAAGTTATTTTACTGAAATATCTTGTATTCCATGTAATATCCGGTTTACCATTCATGATCACCGTAGTCAGTCACTTTACGATTATTTTACTCTTTGATGTAACTTTTGGGACTCTATAAATAGAGCATCCCACTTCATGTATTCCTTACCAATTTACCAATTATCAACAATCAATCGATCACTGAATGTTTATCAATATCAGATTGTTCATCTCTATACCTTAAGTTATCTTAAATGATACTTAACCGAGTCCCTCTTCACTTGTGTTGTTCATCTTATACTAACTTGTGTTTGCATGCAAACCTTGTTACGATTCAACCTTATGTCTACTTGTTTACTGCTTATTGATATAAACTTGTTGCTATTTATTTTCCTTACATTTCCGCAATCTAACTATTATTATTGTTGAGCTAACAAGATCCACTGAGATTAACTTTAATTCCGCAACTTATTATCTCGTTACTAACGTTTGTTCAAGTTTTTCTCTCAACGGATAACATTGTTGTTACATTTTTTTCAATCGATATAATCAAAATGGAAAAACTGTTCATTGTTATTTGTTGCATTTTGCCTCATGTAAAATTCAATAAAGAGCATTTCAAATTGTTTTGGGGATTGTTTCTCACTTGACCTTATGGTTTTTTCAGGAGTTACCAAAAATACCCTTCACGGGTCATACTTAACACGGGCCTTAAACATACCTAGTATATATATATATATATATATATATATATATATATATATATATATATATATATATACTTAGATTATTTTGTTTTTACTAACTATTATGTGCCAGAATGCACAGATCTGGACCACCGGACGGAATAGAATCAAAGGTTATGCTCTGAGAGTCTATAATATTACAATAGGGTAACATGCACCATATAACCACACAATTTTCAGCATAAGGGTATTTTGGTCAATTTACCTATATTAAAAAAGGGAAATTTTCGTATTTTAAGGGATTATTAATACCTTTAATTTTAAAAATCCAACTATTTTAAATTAATTCAAATTTAAAAATCCAATTTTATTCTGTCAGAATGATAGAATGTCAACCATAAACTAGTAAATATATTTTCGATTTTATTCTTGCAGAATACATTTCCAATGCAGTTATATTTGATAATTGACCTGATTTAAGAATAAGATATTATTTATATACATCCAACTTGGGTCTATGATTTTATTCTTAACATACAAAATTCATACATTTTAATATAGTTATACATATTCTAACAGAATATCATAAAAAATGAATAAAATTCTTAATAAATAGCATTATTGAATATACAATTATTGAACAAATACACTTGATCCCCTTCAGTGGTCCATATAATCAACTTGATCTTCACATATATACTTGTTGTTGAGCTCGATTCCAAATATTTCTCTTGTATGATCAATATTGAATTCCTTCTCCATGCAATTTTGAAAGAATAAGATATATTACTCGTTAGTATTACCAGTTAAAAAAATATACTTGTTGTTAACAAACATTCGCAAAGACATTCTAACAGAATGCATTTATATAAATAAATTCTAAAAGAATACATTACAGAATGCACTTAAATCATAGTCTTTTCTTCTATATGCATAAACATTCTAAAGCATGTATAAATGTATTCTGTCATAATTACTAGCAACACATGTTTTATGTAATATTTATATTCTCATAGAATGAACATGTGTTTTCATTATGATATGAAAAAATTAAAGAATAAAATTCAAGTTCATTCTTAGAGAACAATCATTCTAAAAGAATAAAATTAAAGCTTCCCTGCCTTTTTTGGTTGTCTAGGTCTGATCCAATTTGAAGGATTACATGTGAAGAATATTTCCCTTCTTCATTCTAAAAGAATAGTAGCCTCGTTAGGTTCAATTGTACAGAATGCACAAGGATGTCAAGGACAAACAAGTGATTAGTACTGAAATAAGTAGACTATAGCAAATAAATGGCTCATGTGTAAACATGAATGAAATGTGTGAAGATAGGCATCATACCTTTAAAATAAGAAGCTTATACAGGCATTGCTGAAGCTCTTTTGAAGCATCATCATGAGAGAGCTAAATGGATTCTGACAAGGTCTCTGTCCATCGACAATTTCCATTGCATACAAATGCTTTACCTGTTTTGGCAACGATTTTATCTGTTTCTATGGAGATGAGAGAGATTGAAAGCTTATCCCATCCTGAGGGTACCTAAATATACAAAACAACAGTGAAAATGAATCCTTCGCAAATAAGATGTATTGGTTACAACTAAAACTGACAGCTACTTGATATCTAACATGAGCCATCATGTCACTACATACTCCCTTCAGTCATATCATTTTATCAGGAAATAGGTTTGATTAATTGATATAACAAATTTATCTACAAAAGACATGTTTCCTACGCACTTATCGTTTCAAATATTTCTCCACTTTAAAAGCTGGAACACAACAAATAAATACACCACAAAGATATACATCAAAATCTTCACTACTAACTTTACGAAACTGCTAAACCTTACATATCTTCCTGGAGCTTAGACAATCCATCTAAAGTGACAAAGAGGAACAAATAATAGTTGTGTGTATGAAAAACGAAAGAGATAGTCCTGAAGAGCTTGAAGGCTAAAGAACTTGAAATCGAGTTTTTCGCCTGATTTAAAATCAACAGACGATGTTAAAGAGGAATTTTGTTTGTGAAACCTATTCATCATCTTCTGCTTCATCATCTCCTTCATTCTGATTAGCAGCCAATCTTGGCATTGATGGAGATGCATGATTCTCATTAGCAGCCAATCTTCAGAATCATTTGAACTTAGAATCTTCAGAATCAGATGGTGATTTTAGGGGTTATTGCGGCTATGGTGGTCGTGGTGTCCGATGACTTTCATGATTTAGGGTTAGGTTGTGAAGAAGTGGAGCAGAAGAAGAAGCCAACCAAGAGATGAGATAACTTGTAAGAGGGAAAGATTGAGGACTTGGAAGACATAAGGGGAAGTTGTGTTGGCCATGATTGCCTGATACATAATGTTCTAAATTCATCTATGTTTCTTGCGTGATATCAGGAATATTAATTATCTACCATAATTAACTATGCAAAGATTACTATACTACCCTCAAATGATTTATTTTTTCCTAAATTCTTATTGGTGCATTCATGCACACAATAGTTGCTAGAAACATTTGAACCTAGCTCTCTCTCTCTCTCTCTCTCTGTGTGTGTATATATATATATATATATATATATATATATATATATATATATATACTAGTTGTGAGACCCATGTATTACATGGGTTAAAATAAGTTCAATATAAATGTCAAAATATTTGAGAACTTTGAATTTCATAAGAAAAATAATGAATTATTATAATGGAAATGTTTTTTATCTTTTAAATTTAAACAAATAATTTAAATAAATAAACAAAAGAAACTAATGAGCTTTAATTTTGGGAATTTTGAAATTAAAAGGTAAGTTGATTAATAAAATTGATATCTATTTATTACTACATTTATTGCAATTATTACATTAAAATATTATGTGAAATTTAATAAAATAGAAAAACTCATAAAATGACATGTGGAAAAAAAATTAATTCAAAATAACCATAAAATGACATTTGACAAATTGAATGAGAGTGTGACAAATGACAAAAAACCTTCATTTATTAGAGTATATATATATATATATATATATATATATATATATATATATATATATATATATATATATATATATCAAAAATAGGGACCTATTACATTAAGTCCAACAAACCAAAAAATGGACTTTGATTTGAACATTTGAACATATAGTATACTATTAATGAGTTATTTTGAATGACAACACAAACATCATAAATATTACACAAATGGATAATAAATATTTAAAGAAAACTATGTTTTTCTAGAAATCAATTAATCTTTCAACTAAATTATTCTAACATGGTGGATGCGAGTAACTTACTCCAAATGAAATTGGCAAAACATCCCTAACAAACTTTGTTTGTGGTTTGCATCCGGAACTAGGTGTGATGTAGCCAATGTTATACAAATCTAGTTGAGTCGGTTAGTTGAACCGTTCAGACTGAGAGAACAGGAGACGAGAGCGGTTTAACAATGTTTGATTTTATGCTAATTTCTAGATCGGATCGAATCGTACGATTTCTTCAAAAACCAAGTTGAACCGACATGATAAAACTGATAAAAAACCGTTTAAGCAGTTTATTAGATTTAGATAGTTAAATTTCACTTAACACATTAAAAACAATCTATTTCTAAAGCAAATTAAAAACTCAATCAACCAAATTATATGGAGTGTACATAAGTCGAATGTCAATGCACACCTCTATCGGACACGACTTCAACGCATACTAGACATTAGTCCGACGCTGATTTTCTCAATTATTATGTTTAAAACTTTATAATAGATTTCATTATCATAAGGATTTATGTTTTTAGATGTCAAATTCTTTGTTATATATATCTATATGCATGTATAAAAATAAAAAATACATAAAAATTATGAAAACCGAGTTGACGGACGATCGAATTAGGAACCGGTCACCAAATCGGTTCAACTACAAAACCAATTTTTAAAACATTAGATGTAGCTCGTTTATAAAAAGTCGTATTGGTTATATTTTGTTGATAAACCAAAGGTGTAAATAGTCGCACCTAATTTTGAGTTTTGACAATAATAGATAAACTAACTTTCGGTAGGGTTTCAACGAAATATAGCATATGCACTTAAACCTGTATACGGATACAAAACCGAAAAATCCAAACCTAAACCTAAATTCGGTCAAAAATCCATCAATTTCTGTGATATGGGTCCAAATAGTTGCACCTAATTTTGAGTTTTGACAATAATATTTTTGAAAAAAGTTTTGATTTCAATTTTGATGCAACAGCAACACCTATTCAGGAAAGTCCACTCAGCACTGCACTTGTTTTGCTACGCCTCTTCGATACAAACGAGAAACGGCCATTCCATCTTTCTCTCCAAAATATAAGCGGCGATTTCCCCAAACACAACTTCACACGGAAACCATCGCCCTCGCCCTCATTTTATAATAATCCTCATTTTGGTCTGCAAAATTATATTTACCTGTTGATTCCATTTGTTTGGTTCTTCCTGTTCCCTATCAAAATAATCAAATTTGATTTGAGTTTTCCAACAATCAATGGCTCAAGTGGTTGCTTCCAAGTTGACTCATACTTCATTTGCGTGCCCTAGCTCTTCCGGTTCTCTTAGCAATCAGATTGAAAAGATCAAGCCTAGTGGTTTCGCTTCCAAACTTCTGATTGGTAACAATGATCGGATTAGTCAGAACCACCACCGTGTTCTTAGCGTCACCGCAAGGAGACAGGAGGTTGAAGTTGTTCCGGTTACGCCTGAAGACGTAACCAAGGTCGTATATAGCTTTAATTTTTTCTCGTTGGTTGGTTTTGGTTGATCTGGATTGGTTGTCATGCTTGATTTCAGCTTACGCTCAAACATACCGCTGGATCTTTTATTTCAGTCGTATTAGGTTTTAAATGCAAAAATGGATTTTGTGACCAATTTACGTTCAGCATTCATCTATCAGCCAGTATTTGTCGAGCTTAAAACTGCATCAAACGCCAACTTTACACTGTTAAAACCGCCCATTCTATCATTGCAATTACATGTTCATAATCTCTTTCATCTTCATACTAGGCTGCTTTTAACCCGATCCGAAAATTTCTTCTTGTCATCAGATAGATAGGAATCATCAATCACCGGAAGTTTTACAGCAAGGTGATTCATCGGTAGGTATATGGTCCAGACCATTGGTGAAACGCAAGACAAAAATTGTTTGCACAATAGGTCCATCCACAGACACCAAGGAAATGATATGGAAGCTGGCTGAGGCTGGGATGAATGTAGCAAGACTGAACATGTCCCATGGAGACCATGCATCTCATCAGAAAGTTATCGACTTGGTTAAAGAATACAATGCTCAATCCAAGGATAATGTTATTGCCATTATGCTCGACACAAAGGTAGGCTTCATCTTTTATCAGGATTTTTTTTTGCCAATCTTTCAGAAGGAATCATAATATTTTCATCTGTTCACAGGGGCCTGAAGTCAGGAGTGGGGACTTGCCACAGCCTGTTAACTTAGTAAATGGTGAAGAATTCACTTTCACCATAAAAAGGGGTGTTGGGACAGCAGACTGTGTTAGTGTTAACTATGATGATTTTGTGAATGATGTTGAAGCTGGTGACATGCTTTTGGTTGATGGTATGCTAAAGATGACCTTTTGCTTCACACCTGATTGTTTTACTTTTACATTCAAGATATTACTTGACATAGATTAGGTCAATTTCCACGCAACTTGAAAACATAAATGACAGCATATGCTTACACATAGGTGGTATGATGTCCTTGTTGGTTAAGTCCAAAACTGAAGATTCAGTCAAATGTGAAGTTGTGGATGGTGGTGAACTCAAATCCAGACGCCACTTAAATGTTCGAGGAAAAAGTGCAACTCTTCCATCCATTACTGGTTAGACTCGATAACCATAATCTTTCTAATGACTTCAATAATTCATATTTCTTTTGAAGATTATCAACCTGTTGGAATAAAATGAACATGATGATGATACTATATTGCAACAGAAAAGGACTGGGATGATATCAAATTTGGAGTGGACAATCAAGTTGATTTCTATGCAGTCTCCTTTGTTAAAGATGCAGAAGTCATCATTGAGTTGAAGAATTACCTCAAAAGTAAGAACAACAACACGCCAACACACACACACGGATCAGATTCTATTACTTTGAACTTCATTGCGACGTTGTTTCTCTTTTGTTAGGCTGTAATGCAGATATCCAAGTAATTCCAAAAATAGAAAGTGCAGACTCTATACCAAACTTACAATCAATCATCACAGCATCAGATGGGGTAAATTTGTTTTGTTGCCAAACCCTAAACCCTAATCCCTAATCCCTAAAAACCCTAAACTGATGATGTTGCTTTACTTTGGTCAGGCAATGGTTGCAAGAGGAGATCTTGGAGCAGAGTTGCCTATTGAAGAGGTTCCATTGTTGCAGGTAAGTTTTGGTTTTTTGTTAAAGGTCTTTGATTCATTAGTAGAGTGATTAATTTTGTGGTTTAATTTAGGAAGAGATAATCAGGACATGTCGTAGCATGGGAAAAGCTGTGATAGTTGCAACAAATATGCTTGAAAGCATGATAGTTCATCCCACACCAACAAGAGCTGAGGTCTCAGACATTGCTATTGCTGTTAGAGAGGGTGCTGATGCAGTTATGCTATCCGGAGAAACAGCTCATGGGAAGTAAGACTTTTTTTTTTTTTTTTTCCTTCAAAAGGGTAAAACGGTCATTTACTAATTAATGTCTTGGTGCATGCAGGTTTCCCTTAAAAGCCGTTAAAGTAATGCACACGGTGTCGTTGAGAACTGAAGCCAGCATAGCCGGTGGTGTCACACCCTCTAATCTTGGTCAAGCCTTTAAGGTTGACTTTAAAATAAAAAAAAAAATAAAAAAAAAAATTAATTACAACTCAATAATACTTTTAAAATTACTTATTGTGATATAATATATGTTGCAGAACCATATGAGTGAAATGTTTGCATTCCATGCAACATCAATGTCCAACACTCTTGGAACATCAATTGTGGTGTTCACTAGAACTGGTTTCATGGCTGTTTTATTGAGCCATTATCGCCCCACTGGCACTATTTTTGCCTTCACAAATGAGTAAGTCACTCACAAATCACAAATCACAATCATATAATATGCTTTCAAAAACTGTAATTTCATTATATATGATGCTAACATTTATTATTTGTGATTTGTGTAAATCAGGAAAAGGGTACAACAGAAGTTGGCTTTGTATCAAGGAGTATGCCCGATCTACATGGAGTTCTCTAATGATGCTGAGGAGACATTTGCAAATGCTCTTGGTACATTGAAGGTAAATCTATGTTTTAATATAATAGTAATATATTGGTATTATTATTTTTTTTCCTTTAAGAAATAATATATAATTATTTTGTATGTGCAGAATCAAGGGATGATAAAGGAAGGCGAACAGGTGGCACTTGTTCAGAGTGGGAGGCAGCCCATCTGGCGGTTCCAATCCACCCATAATATTCAGGTCAGGAAGGTCTAAACAGAAGCTCTTGTGTTGTGTCGTGTTCTTCTTCTTTTCTTTTTATAGGAGGGAGTGAGTGGTGCTTAATTTAGTCTAGTAGTTTATTTATTATTATATGTCATGTATTACTATTATGTCAAAGAATAATCTGATCTGAAAAAACCAACTTACAATTTTGTTGATTGAGTATTGACATATGAACTTTTTTTTGTATTGTATGATGTTTTGAAATTTTGAAGTCTTTTATGAAAAAATTAGTAATGTGATAATAAGTTAGTTATAGCTTCTACCTACCACAGTCCACAGAAGCTTGTTTATTGTGGTACAATGAATCTTGCATGACGTCTTAATTTGGATGCCATGAAATATGAACTTGATGATATAGCTTATCAGAGAAAGGCCCACCATCTAGCTGAAGTCTTGCATGTTGATACCTGATTTGATTTGGACTTCTTAATTTGGATGCCAAGAAAGAGTGTAGTTTAAGCCACGGAGATCTTTAAGTGAAAACATGAACTGTTGAACAAGCTAGGGGAGGCGTGTGAATTTGTAGATTGAGGGTCGGGTGAGTTTGGTGAAAGACATAACATTGTCATGTAGACTGGTGTTGATAGACACAATAATGACAACAACAGGTAGAGGAGGATCCTTGGGGGTTGATCTTGATCATAGAAAAACTTCTTGATTGAAAACTAACAACGAACCGAGATACATACATTTTGGCTGTGGGTTTGTTGTGAGAAAAACTATACCCATGGAAGAGAACAACAATTCCTTTTATGAGATATATAGGGTCAAAGAAATGGGTAGCACAAATATGACCCAACGACTGTAGAAATGTATAATCTGATTTTTTGTTGTGTAGAATGTATTAGGATTTAGGATCAGGAGTCACCAAACCAAACCATCGGTGGCAGCTGGAGTTGCAGGAGAAACTCAGCAGGAGGATTTGGTGGCAATATAAATCATTCAAAACAAAACAATGGTGGTTACTTGCACATCATACAGAATTATTGTCACAATCCAGTTGGATGTTGATTGTAAGCATTTGGAATTGGCGATTGTGGCATTGGTAAGAAGCTACTGAGACGAAGTGAAAAAATAAAATAAAAAGTCTGATACCATAATGAGATTAAGAAGTGTGAATTCACTTGTATATATAAAAGAGTAAAAGATTAACAAAAAGCACTATAAGCTCCACAACCTACGACACTAACAACCCATTATCCAATCGATTACCACAAAATCCTAATACAATATTTGACTAAATCAATCCTAGGATATCCTAATGGAAAAGTACTGAAAGTTATTCCCTTGCAACAAAAATCTGTTTTTCACAATATATATATATATATATATATATATATATATATATATATTAACAACGATCATTTATAAAGTAAGTTTACAGAATGTATTTTGCAAATTGGATGATTATCAGGTAATATTTTATTTTTCTTTAAAAAATGACTATTTGGTGGTAAACACCTATTTTGGTCATTTTATCGATTATCCCTAACAAAAGTTATTTGATTAAAGTTAGAATTAACAAGGTAAATTTTATATTTGCCAAACATTGCAAAAACTGATTTATATCTTTGCATCACATTCAATAATGTATGGAGGAGGGGGAGTACAAATATACCAAATGTACACTTTTACTCATCCAAACCTAAACCGATCACCAATCAAATTCTTTGGCTACCGATATCATCTTGCTACCAAATATAATTAACGTTATATATATATATATATATATATATATATATATATATATATATATATATATATATATATATATATATATATATTACAAATTAGTGCAAAATACATAAAACCCAACCCACTGTATTTTGACCATTTTGTAACTTAACCACTAATTTCAGTTTCGTCAATAAAAGTCATCCAAGTTTGACATTTTTTTCTATGTTGACCACTTTGACCTGCTATAGCATAGCAGAGGTTAAATGGGTCAAAATTTAGTGTTTAGTGGAATATTTTGTGTCGAATCACAGCCACTAAACATCGACAAAGATTTCTGTTGCGACGATTTTAACTTGCTATAGGAGGTCATAACAGGTCAAAGTGGTTGACATAGAAAATTTTGTCAAACTTGGTTAGCTAGCCTATCATTGACGAAATTGAAATATAGTTGTTAAACCACAAAAATTACTAAAATATATATATAGTGGTTTTTATGTAATTTTTGCTACAAATTAAACATATGATCATTTGGACCAAATATAGAATTACTAAACTGTCTAGTATTCAAATCATTACCATCAAGAGCCGAACCAAATCGATCAAGCCACTGAGTCGGGGTCGGGTTCTCACTCTCTGCAACCCATGCTGAAGTCATATCAATATCCTCCACCTGTATCGGATCATTCTCTAAACTTGACCTTTTTGCCCTTGATAGCTTTAGATTGTAATGTATGTATGCAATATCATTCAAAGTTTCTTTATCAATCTTATTTCTTTTCTCCGAATGTATTTGTTGAAACATACTCCAATGTCTCTCGAATGTACAACTGCTGCACACTTGACTCAGTATTCTCATTGCAACTCGTTGTAGTGTCGGAGCCGAGTCGCCGTATTGTTCCCACCAAATTCCTGTACGCAAGGGTAAAATGGTCATTTACTCACACTTTCAGACAGTTTTAAAAAAAAAAGGCACGAAAACTTACCAGGTGAAACAGCATCAATGGCCTCCTTGGCAAGATTGCATCCAAACATCCCTGTGGCCCTTGTAAACAACAGAATTTGATTTGTAATATCTCGTCTTAATTCAGGAGTCGGAAGCAATTTCTCCAAAACCCTAAAAAAATCTTCTTTTATCGATCCAAGAAACTTGATTTCTGGATTATATTGAATACCCGGATTCAAAAAAGCAGCAGCTGAATGTAAAGGTGAATGAAGGTGGCTCTGCCATTTTTGATCCACAATATCAAAAAAAGTTTTACACTTTATATCATCCATAATGTAATAAGTCCTAATCGACTCCTTAGCTTTTGTCATCAGCTCATAAATGGACCCCACCCCCGGTTTCCCACCGGAAACCTCCCTCGTCACCTTTAAAAACGGGTCGGAAACCGCCACACACTCCTCCACCCCCCGCCAAAACTCATTGTCTTCAAGAATCTCAATGCATGTGATGCTTTGTGGTTTATTTCCATACACAGGGTTGTTGGTGAACTCAGGGGAATTAAACATGTGTTTCAATCTTGAACGTTGTTTTAAGATGGATTGCAATGAAAGGAAGTGAGACACGTATTTTGTGATTCCCGTTTTGATGATTTCTTCATTTACAGTGTACTTTTTCATCATATCAAGAACCGATGAATCATTGTATATGAATTTTGAAATAACTTGTGCTTGTAAGATACAACGATTCACCCAATCTATCTTTGAAAACTCTTTCAAGATTGCATTTAAACATTGTGAAGCACATGGGGACACGAAAATTGTCCCATAAGTTTGGAGAATATGATTCACTACGCTTGTGCAATTCAAAGTGTTGTCCAAGATTATCTGAACAATGTTTTCGGGACCGAATTCTTGGATTACAGAATCGAACAAATCGGTTAAGAACTTTGTGTTCTTGAAGTAAGAACTCGCGTCTACAGATTTATGGAAGAATGTGCTTGATGGTGATGAAATTAGGAAGTTGATTAAAGTTCTTGATTTGTGATCTGTCCATGTTTCCACAATTATTGTGCAACCTGTTGTTGTCCATTCTTTTTCAATTTCTTTAGATTGTGAGGACACTTCGGTTTTTATAATCTCTAACCAATTGTTTTTTAGGGTTTCGGGTGAAGGACCTTTAAACCCATTACAACATTTCGTGATTGAATCAATCATTAATTGGTAAGATGAAGAACGGGCTACACTGAAGTCTAGTTTGTTTTCGAAAAAGAAAAGAGCTATGTTTCTTTCTGCATCTTCTTGGTTATTACTAGGGGCATTTTGGGTAATGTTGGGAAAGATTTTGGTGATTGGAGATAATGTTTCTAGGGTAACAAGACTTCTATTTTGAGAGATGGTTATAGGAGAAGATTTGGGTTCTTCTCTTTTTTGTTTTTTTGTTGAAGGAACTTCTTTAATGTCTTCTTTTGATGCTATTATGTTCCTAACTCTATCGCTCACATCATCTCTAACTTTGCTACATGGATTTACACCTTTACTTGGAAGTCTAGAAAGATGATGCTTTAGTCTACTTATGCCACCGTTTAAAATTCTAAGACAGAATTTGCATTTCACCTTGTTTCCGTCTAGTTTCTCAGCATATTCCCAACAAACATCTTTCTCTCGTACCACTGCCCCAAAAAAATGAATCTTATAAATGAAATTGCATATGACTGTATGATTCAGAGAGATGACAAAAAACTCCAAATCAAGAAAAGATAGGGACTTACTTATGTAGACAATACACCTTGCATTTCACCCTGGTTACATTAATAGGATAAACAAGAAAGTTTTTGTAATAGTTAGTACTTAGTAGGGAATTACATTCAAAAGATGTACTTAAAATGTCTATGAATTTCATCACTAATCTTGGTTGAGGGAATAGCTAACTTAGCACACGTGTCAAGTGCATTCAAAAGATATACTGAGAATGGAAAATTACAGTTTCGAACTAAAATATAATGGATTTCACTCAAAAGATTGTAACATAAAAAACTTTTCCAGCAAATTTATGCATTTCTTCAGTCAAATGAACGAATTGAAAAAGCAAAATGTAAAAAAAATTGAACAAATTCCTCATTGTCTTGCAGATCTACTAGATAATTGGTTCTAGGTGTCTAATTAATCTGCTAGCAAATGTAGCAGAAAAACTGATACAACTGGATCAATCAATCTTCATAAAATCGATAACTAGAAGGTAAAGTTACCATTTTTTTTTTCTAAATTTTGAGTTCAGAAAGCTTCTTGGAATAAAAAACATAAGCTAATAGAAACTCGGGTCAGGGAAGAAGTTCAAATATTTATTTCAATTTTTTCACTACACGCATCGATTAGCACGAAAAAACTAGAGATTAGGAATCGATAAGCACACAAACTTTTATCTTCTTACAATAGAAATTAGGGTTGTAGATTTTACTAAGTACTTAATAAAGAGAAAATGGGGGAGAAAGTAGCGAGAAATAAGAGATGGCTTACAGAGAGTGAGCGAAACGAAGTGAAGGAGATCTTCACTTATAATTGATGAATGAGAGATTAGCGGAGGTTGCAGATTCGGAAAAAATGGTGTCGGTTGTCGGATTTTCTCGCGATATTTTAAAGGAAATTGAAGAATTAGGGTTTTCCTGTTCTTCTCGTTTTCTGTATGTTTTTTAAATAAAATTTTAGTATGTAACCCCGATATATCGCGGGGTCTCTATTTTACGTTCTGATTAGATCCTGTCCGTTGCTTTACAAAACGACATCATCAAGAATGTAGAAAGGAAAAACAAAAATTAAGGCGGAAGCTACTCTTATTTATCAGAGCCAGGTTTCGATCCTGGGACCTGTGGGTTATGGGCCCACCACGCTTCCGCTGCGCCACTCTGATTTGTTGATACTTAACTTCATCCCCAGATATAAAACATAGAATCTATCAAAATAACTAAAAGTTGTTTCATTTCTTTTATCATAAGTAGTAAATATATTGAATGCGGTATAAGAATTGTAATTAAAGCGTAATTTAATTTTTATAAACTTTTTTATATATATATAAGAGAAAAGTTAATTTTTTTATTGTTAAATATGGTAAGTTTTGTGGTTTTCCTACATGAGACATTCAAACAAGTGATTTCGTTTTTATAGTTTTAAACAACAAACATTTTTAAATATTATTTTATACAGCTAGTTTGATTAGAAATTATAATTTCATATTGATACTATGATATATATAAAACACATTTACATGTTCATGCAGAAAAAGGAGAAAAGAATGGTTTTTGTAAAACTTATTATAATTCTTTTTGTACAAAAAAACATGCCCATCAATGCATATGTTAATAATGTTATAATAATATTTTGTTATTTTTCTTTTAGTTTTACAAAGACACTTTGATTAAAGTCCTTCGTCTATACTCCATCACCATGTGCATCCTCCAGTTATCCCGCCATATCTCTCCCTGCAACACCAATAGGCAATAGTAGAATTTACTCACTTTTTCCGTACAAAAATTATTAATCCTTCTGCCACACGCAATCTCTCTCAGTCACTCAGATTTGAGCAGAGTTTCTTTCTGCCGTTTCATTGTTCGTTCCCTTTCGACATTAGCCGCTTCTCGAGTAAAATCCACACATAAGCCCCGTTTGTTTGGAGGTTTTGATGGAGTTGTTACAGAGCCCAAGGAGTTGAGATCTGTTCGTCCATTGGTGAGTTTCTAGCTTTAACTTTTCCTTTTTTGCAAATTTGGCATTCGCACAATCATGAATATGTGTGCTGTATACGAAATCAGGAAGACGTACATTCATATATTTACGTTTTTTTTTTCAGTTTAACTCGGTCTATGCTCAACAGAATGAAGATAATCGTTATATGATTCTATCCTACACTGATTCTGTTTAAGTTTTGTTTATTTACTCGTTCCTTTTGTTGGATTTCATGCAGATGTGGAAGGTTTTGTAGGTTTTGAGAGAAAACGGAGACGATGAACAAGTTCAGTTTCATTGCAGTATTCTTGTTTGGGGCTATTTTCTCTCTAGTTACTACTGAACCTACAGAAGATAAGAAGATCTTACTCGATTTCATCCAAAAAATTCCGCATTCTTCTGCGATTAACTGGAGAATGAATTCTTTGGCTTGTAGTAACTGGACTGGGGTGACATGCGATCATCAACGTTCATCGATAATAGCTCTTCGTTTGCCTGCGCTTAGTTTTCATGGCCCTATACCTCCAAACACTCTCAGCCGACTATCAAATCTTCAGATCTTGAGCTTAAGATCCAATGGATTATCAGGTCCTTTTCCATCTGATTTCTCCAATCTGAAAAACTTAACATCTCTACATCTTCAATGCAATAACTTCTCTGGTCCATTACCTTTGAATTTATCCGTCTGGAACAATCTCTCTGTTCTTAATCTCTCCCACAATGGTTTTACTGGAAGCATTTCTCCTTCCGTTTCAAGTCTGACTCACCTCACAGTTTTGAGTCTCGCTAACAACTCACTTTCCGGTGAAATCCCCGATTTCTGTATCTCGAGTTTACAGATTATAGATTTGTCCAACAATTTTTTTCACTGGAACCGTGCCTCGATCTCTCGGAAGATTTCCTAGCTCGGCTTTTCTCGGAAACAACCTAGCACCTAACTCTGGTTCATTATCGCTTCCTGCTCTTTCTCCTCAAAAGAAACCCTCAAAACTGAGTGAATCTGCAGTCCTTGGGATCGTGATCGGTTGTTCCGTGTTAGTGCTAGGACTACTTGCTTTGCTATTGGTTGTTTGGCATTTGAAGACAGAAGCTAAAAATCAGGATCTGCAGAGAACAGATAAGAATCAAAAGGGCATGGAGAATTTGCGATCGAGAAGCCTTGGAAATGGAAACGGAAACGGGAACCTGGTTTTCTTTGAGGGAAGTAACCTGGCGTTCAACTTGGAGGATCTTTTTAGGGCTTCTGCAGAGGTTCTGGGGGAAGGGTACTTTCGGTACAACTTATAAAGCAGCATTGGAGGATTCAAATGCGGTTGTGGTGAAGAGATTAAAAGACGTGTATGTAACAAAACGGGAATTTGAGCAACAAATGGAGATTGTTGGAAGCATACGACATGAGAATGTGGTTCCTTTAAGAGCTTATTACTACTCCAAAGATGAAAAGTTAATGGTGTATGACTACTTCAATGAAGGGAGCGTTTCTTCGATGTTACATGGTAAGTTGTAAACTTAAGGGAATGTTTCTTATTTATTTTGTTGTTGATGATCTGATTTTCATTTTGCAGCAAAAATAGGACATAATACGAATCCCTTAGATTGGGAAAGCCGATTAAAAATAGCAGTGGGAGTAGCAAAAGGAATAACTCACATCCACACACAATCCGGAGGAAAGCTTGTTCATGGAAACATAAAATCCTCCAACACCTTCCTCAACCGCCACCGCCACGGTTGTATCTCTGAAATGGGCCTGGCGGGAGTGACGACTCCGGCGGCGGTGAGGGGCGGTGGCTACCAAGCACCGGAAACAATGACCGCCAAGAAAATCTACCAAGCATCAGACGTCTACTCTTTTGGGGTTTTACTACTTGAGCTTCTCACTGGAAAGTCACCGGCTAATGCAACGTGTGGGAATGAGGTGGTGCACTTGGTGAGATGGGTGCACTCAGTGGTTCAGGAGGAATGGACAGCTGAGGTTTTTGATGTGGAGCTTTTGAAGTACCCCAATATAGAAGAGGAGATGGTTGAGATGTTGCAGATAGCCATGCAATGTGTTGGGAAGTCGCCCGAGCAGAGGCCGAAAATGGCGGAGGTGGTGAAATTAGTGGAGAACATTCGAATCACTGCTGTATCTACCGTAATATAACAACAGCCTTTTATTGTTTACAATCGAAATTTATATCAATAAGGAATTTGGTGCATAACATGTTAAGAGGCGTTTTGTTTGGTTCTTGGAATGTTTTTATAAGGAATGTAATATGTTATAGGAATCATAATATGTTGTTACGTGTTTGGTTGAGCATTCAATCTACACAATTATACATGATTGTTCTTTTTTGACTTAATCTGGACATAATGACTTAATGGGTTAAGCCAAATAACATGGCTTAATGTGGTACACTAACCTTTTATCTATTTTTTTTCCCTCCCAGCTTAAATTTGTTTTTTGAAATGTAAAGGTAAATGAACATATAATAGTCATTTTCCTTATCCATATAAGACTTAACGGAAAAAAAACAAACCATGTAATATCAAATGTATTTCAATCATAGTTTCCTCCCATACTGAAATAGGTTATAGGTAGAATGCTTATTTATGTAAAAATGTGTTACTTTTAGGGTATCCTACTTTATGCAACAAAGTTGTCTTTTAAACGAAATTTTTTGCCAGACAGAAATATGCAACATTGAAACAAAAAGAACTAATTTTACGTTTCTATCATATAACCACTTACCAGTAAAGTACTGTATCTTTTGGTCCTATAATTTAAACATCATTGCATATTTTGTATAAAAAACAAACCACTTTGTTGCATAAACTTGGAATAAAGTGAAACGTTGTTTGCATAAGTGCTAAAATATAATACAAAACACAGAAAACACGAAATCATGTTCAATTAGGGTTAATTGTAAAAGTTGGAAAGGAAAACAATCATATTACACACAAAAATAAAAGAATTACAAAACAACTGCTTCCGAATAACTATGAACATAAACAGCTCTTTACTTTTTCACAATTCTTGTTCGGATACCACCTGAAATATAAGTAACTTAATAAATATAAGTTGTGGTTCAAGAAAATATAAATTTTTAAGTTGATGAAAATATTTAAAAAGAAATAGGTTCACCTTCAACCTCCTCAAACTGAATTTCTTTAACTATCTCAGAAGTAGCATGGTACTCAAAACTGCAAAAGTATGACAACAGACACAAGAACTAAATAAGCAATACACAAAAGGATTCAATGTAAGAATTAGCAACGCACTTTTATTAATTTCTTTATTATAACATTCTACATCATTATTATAAGTTACAAAAAGTTTTCTCTTGCAAAAAAGGATTATACTAAATGTCTAAACATATACTTTTTCATGTAAAAAATAAAGCTAATTAGTTAGGAAATGAATACTAAGAATGGTGTTATCAGTTATGTGTCGGAGATGGTCTAAGAAATAAATTAAAGTATAGCTAAGTTTTTCAATTTTGGTCCAAAAAGTTTTCTCTTGCAATTTTGGTCCTCATTTGAGGTTCTTGTAACGTTTTTGGTTCCTGTTCTAAGTAAAATGACTATTTTTGGTCCCTGAATATAGCTGATTTTTGCAATTTTGGTCCCAAATGTATAATCATTTTCTTGGAATGCAAAGAGCTCAAATAAATTCCAATTTTGCAAAAATCAGCTATACAAGAAGACCAAAAATCTAGTTACACTCTAAATTAAATGTATTTTGTATTAGAAAGAAATGACAAAAATAAATGAAAGTAAGTTGCTATTTCTTCAAATATACGATGGATGATGAAAATGACAAAAGCATCAAAATGAATGCACATTACAAATTTACAATTACCTGTTAGATAGGTGAACTTCCAATTCGTAATTTGATGTGTTCTTCATAGATTCCACCAACAGGCTTACAATCTCAGTCTTGCGAGTACTAGCCAAGAGAAGATCGTACTCGGTAGGGACGATAATGGAAAAAAAATTATCACTTAATTCACTCAAACAAAGCTTCTCGACTGCAGCAAGGGCAATCCGTCTTTTAAGTGTATATGTCTCTTGATCAACAACATAGATGGCAAAATTGGTAATTACAAGAATTCTGCGTTTCATCTTTCCTGAACCTGTAAACTTGAGAACTTCATCAGCAAAGATGACTCCCCTGTCACCTGCATATGTTCAACTATCACTCCATGAAAAAAATATATATATTTAATCAGCATATTGCTAATCCTGCCAGATGCCTCAAGCTCTTTACTATCTAAAATAACAGACATCTGAATGTTCACACCAGATATCTTCCAGGGTTAGAGTTAAACAAATTGTATCCTGTTGTATTCAACTGATTCAATCGAGCTACTTCATCATCAATCAGTTGATGAACTAAATTCCAAAATATCAGAATTGAAAGATAAGCTAGTAAATCTACAATTTGACTTTTATGTTTGGAAATGACTCAATTGACTTGCCTTGTTTTTCGAGAATTTTCATGAGATAGGGCTTGGAGCGAACATCAACATAATCACCTCTGAAACTTCTGGCAATAGATGCTTTCCTACGGACTTTACCTCCGGCGAAAGGATCGTGATCCTCTGTGATGTTTCCGTCAGACGGTGTGGGCTCATCGCTGCCGAGATCTGTTTTCTCCTTATCATCGTCTCCTGTATCGGAGGAGTTAACCTCGATTTGGATTCTGCGCCTTATCGAAGCAGACATGGTAGTGGATGCGAGTACGCTGCCTGACAACTTGTAAAAGAAGAGACGGTGTCTCCGCCGGCGGTGAATCGGCGGCTTGCTATACGGGCAATGGATCAGGCGACGAGAATTTATTATTTTAGATTCAAAATTACTAAAGTCTGAAATCTGAATTGAACTTTATGGTTTATGACAGTTTTGCCCCCATGATGTATCGATGGATGAGTTTGAGTTGTTTACAACAGTAAAGTCCAAATGTATAACGTAGTTTGTTGGATTTTTTTTTTTTTTTTTTTTTAGTTTAACTTTGTTAATGGCTAGTTAATTATAATAAATTTTATAATTTAGAATCTGACAACTAGTTATCTTAGACCTGACAAACGTGTCGTATTGTGTCGAAACAGTAAACGAGTTGAAAAAGTTTGACTATAACCTTACCTGTGTATATTCGTGTCGAGTTATGTCAAAATCCGTTTATTTTCGTGTCGGGTTTTGGATCATGGTCAGGCCTTGTAATGTATCTTGATATGTGAGGTCGAAACACTAAGACTAAGGGGTGTTATAACACACGTTACCACATTTTTAGCAATGTCACGTACATCACATCATTTTCTTGTCACCATATATTACCACACTTTTTTTTGTTTTGTATTTTTTATTTAAACAAAATATAATCTAATAAAATGTAATTATATAAATTTAATAAAGGAGAGTATTTCATTAGTTTAATTAAAAACTATTACATCACTAAAAACTATAATTAAATTAAAATACTACAAAATAAGACTAATTGCAATATATATTTGGGAAAATGACTCTTGAGGGTAATTAACTTTTGCGTTTGTACTCATTTGGTCCCTTTCCTTTTTTTGTATTCAATATACCATCGAACTTGTTGTTTGTGTTCACCATAACCCTTTTGACCGGCTTTTGACCTATGATAGCCAGTCAAAGGGTTATGGTGAACACAAACAACAAGTTCGATGGTATATTGAGTACAAAAAAAGGAAAGGGACCAAACGAGAACAAACTCAACAGTTGGTTACCCTCCTGAGTCATTTTCCCCGAAAAGTTAAATGAAATTAAAGTTGCAAAATTATCAAAGACTGCAACCTTCTTTGGCTATAACGTATATGAAGAGCGTTTCAGAGGGGTAACTTCGTTAAAACATGGTCTATGTTATGCTTACTGTGGTTAGCTGTCAACACCTCTATGCAAAAGGATATGACTGTGTATGAGAGGTATATTTATCAGCATAAACGTTAACTCAAGGTATATTATGGTGATGTGTCTACAAAAGCAGCATGATATTGTACATATTGATGTTGTATCTTATCCCATGAATTCGATCTTAAAGCTAAGTAAACTCAAAAATCACAGCACTTGTGATTCCACTCGTTTGTAGACTTGTCTAGAATCCATGATACGATAAATCATTTGATTGGAAATGTAAATGTAGTCATGAAATGCGCCTGCTTAGTCAAGATTCCCCTAATAAATATTCAAGTGCATTACAAAGTTGTACATGTATGAATAATGTTCTTTCGTGGGTTATGTTTTGAAGAAAAGCAAGAATGAATCTCATAAAGTCATTAATATCAGTAGGAGATGATGTGGGATTTGCTGTAAATGAGTAAAGGGAAAATGAATCATGAGGGTAACCAATCCGACCAATTCTTCTATATCCCTGATAAAAAAAATCGACCCTAATATACGATGTCCTTCCAAAAATCGAACCCATCCTTAGCATAACTTCACATACTGACGACGAACGAATCCTTGATCCCGCTAACCTTAACCAATTAAGGACAACCATCACTACTCAACTCAAATACAGGAACCCAATACCTTATCTGACTTCCCGACATACAAAATCATCCTGAATCACTGCCAATACGACTCCACATTGCAACCCAAACCGAACGTAAACCCTTCCGACCCTGTATTATTTTGTTGCTTCTACTGGGAAACAGAATCCCCGACCATTCATCGCTGCCGGAACCTTTCACTCGATAACAAGGTGACTCCCAACACGAGTCTCAATCATTGGTATCATCTTGTTGTCCCATAATCACATTTCTGATATAACCAAGACCTCCTTGGCCTCGTACTTACCTACCAATTTATTTGATATACCAGATTTCAAATCGGTTATTGAGGCTGATAGCCTCACACAATCGCACCACACAACTCCTGAACGAGGGTTTATCTGGAAATATATATCCTAAATTGCTTGCCATATTGGCTCCAACGGCCTTTCTGATCCCACTAGGGATATCATTAACAAGCATTCCACCAATGCAACATGATCTATTTTGCTATAAATGAATGCTACATGCACAACTGTAGTCTTATATCACAACCAACCTCATACGACCCATAACCTCCCTTAATTCCATGAATGTTATGGCCTTCTCACAGTCTCACTACTCATCCTGCGATGGTCTAATAACATCTAGAGGAAACTACGAGCCAAATCGTAGATTCACCACCCTCTCACAACTGTTCATGGACCAGGTGATTGCTACGGGCCACCCCATAGTCTTACAACATTACAACACTACCTGCCAACGTAGTAAATTATATGACCACCCCCGCAGTCTTACAACACCTTTATCACTATCTGCCAATCTAGTGAATGCTACGACCACCCCGCAATCTCACAACACTTCTATTACTACCTTCCAATCTAGTGAATGTTATGGTCACCCCACAGTCTTATAACACTTCTATCACTACCTGCCAATCTAGTGAATGTTACAGCCATCCCGCAGTCTTACAACACTTCTATCACTACCTATAAATCTAGTGAATGCTACGGCCACCCCACAGTCTTACAACACTTCTATACGGTCATAGTCCCAACCCATGGTCTTACCGTTCATCTATCGTACCAACATAATCATCATGAGTCAAACCCGCATCCGACTATACCCTAATCAGGTGTTCGGGTCATGATTCGAGTCCCAACGCCCTTATCAGACATTTGAATAGAGTCATTTGACAGATTCTTGAATAGAGTCTCGTGGTATAGTCATTTGAAAGGATGTCGGGTTCAACGATAGGTCGGGAATCTAGCGCTTCAGATAATTGGTGGATCAGCTCGGAGCTCAAAAGATCTTGGATAGATCGAAAATGCGAATGTGGGTCAACAGGATAATTTAGGGTCGTAAGAATTTTGTTCGGATTAGATTGCAAAGTGGAGCCATATTGGCTGTGTTTTTCGAATGGTTTTGTATGTCGGGAAGTCAGATATGGTATTGGATTCCTGGTTTTGAGTTGATTAATGGTGGTTGTCCTTTATTGGTTAAGGTCAACGAGAGCAAGGATTCGTCCGTCGTCAGTATGTGACTTATGCTAAGGATGGGTTCGATTATTGGAAGGCCATCGTATGTTAGAGTCGACTTTTCTCAGGGATCTGGTAGGTGGTCAGGGTGTATATGTTTTCAGGTATCCATAAATTTTTTTAGGACAGATAGGTTTGTTCGGATCGGGTTGTGAAGTTGAGTCTTTGTGCGAACAGTTTTGATTGATTCAGTATGTCTGAGAGTCCGACATTATTCAGGGTTTTCAATTTCAGGTATAGCGATTGGATACTCGTTGGCTTAGGGGGAACAATTGAGGTTCATTCTTAATTAGGGCTTATGATATCTACTATTTTGGGTTCGAAATCTGTAAGGGTGGGCGGTCATCAGAGCGAGGTGACTTCCCCAGTCATTTTTGGGAGTCAGGGAGTTCGTTCAGGATCGTTTAGTTCGGTAAAGGAGATAGTAAGGAATGGTTTTGAGGACGAAATCTAATTTAAGTGGGGGAGAGTTGTAACACCTTGTTCGAGATCATTATGTGATTCAGGGTTGTGGGCCGAAAGTCGATTGTGTAAAGGCTTTGGGCCTTAAGGAGGAAATGTTTAAACCTTTTGGAATGAGGTAATGATGGTTATGAGATCTAAACCTTTGAATTGTGTTTTGGAGTCAAAGGGTAAAATGGGAAAAGTCATAGGGCGAGTTCTTGCATGAAATATGGATTTTTGCTCGAGAAGTTTTTAGTCCAAGATATTTAGATAATATGTAGAGCTCTTCAATACCTCTCCGTGGATATAAAGATAATCAAAAACAGAGTTGGAACAAAGAAGTTATAACCGTTTGAAGTTAGGGCGGTTTTGGGGTTGAGCCGCGTACGTTGGGTGTACTAGGGCATTCCTAGTATGTTGGGCGTAATTTGAGTACGTTGGGCGTACGCGATTAGTGCCCAAACCCTATTTTCATGGTTTGAACCTTATTTAAGCTCCTTAACTTCCCCAAACCCATTCCATTCTCATCCCCCACCTCTCCAACACCCTCTCTTGTAACCCTAACCCTAGATTGAGCATTGTGAGCAAAAAGAAGGTGTTTTTAAGTGCTTTGGAGTGTTCTTGGTGCACCTTGGAGAGGAAGGAACTCATTGAAGAAGTGTTGGTTGCATTGGAGCTTGTAGATCCATAATTTGTTCACCTTGATCTTTCTTCTAGAGGTATAAAGTTTGAATCTTGATGATGAAATTGTTAGATCTAGCTAGTTTTGGGTGTTATGAGCTTTTGGTCACTTTAAGTGCATAAAGTTTAGATCTTGAAAGTTTGTGACCTTGTTATGGATAAACTTGGAAACTTTATCCATTTGAACATCATTTGGTTTCAGATTTGAAGGTTGAAGACTTGTACTTAATGGATTAAGTTGAAAAAGATGCACTTTTGGGTTCCTTTGAGACTTAAAGATTAGGTCTTGTTTGTAGGGACCATTCTAATGGATAAACTTGGAAACTTTATCCATTATGGAACCATTATGAATCATAAAAATATGATCTTGGCCCTTCTATCCCTTCCATACAAGAGTTATGATGTCTTATTGGGTTAAGAACTTAGGGTTTTGGACATTAAGCACTTTATAGCCATGCAAAGTCATAAAGTTGGAAAATTTATGACTTAGGAAATCATTTTGGGTTTGGATCTGAGTTTTGGACGTATGGGCTTAATGAAATAAGCTCTT